GTCTAGCGCCATGGCCTTAGACCGACAGACACTCTCACCACCCGGTACTTCCTACGGGGTTCGTTCCGTGGCATCGTCACGCAACCTATCATCTTGCCTTTCTCCCCCGTTCAAGAGTGTCGACCGAACTCTGCGTCCGCACTTGCTATACGCATGCGTCCAGAGGTGTTACAGTAAGTGCAAGAGCACGTTCCCAGGCGCCTCTCCATTGGACTCCAGGGCATCAACACCAGCAGTTGATGACTGCTGTTGAGTGAGCGGGAGGGTGATGTTGTCGACACGCCGCCCCTGACATCGGGCTAATCAAACAGGAAACCCCTCCCGAGAAGACCAGACTACCCTCGAAGCCAGACCTCTTGGTCATCAAGACCTCCGGTCCCTACAGTCCACATCTGCCTGAGGCGAGGCCTTAGAGTCCTACAGTGGGGATGAGCATAGGCCCGAGCGCGTGCCGCCCCTGGACGCGCTGCAAACGCTGCCACAGCGTTCGGTCGACGTTCTCAAAGGAGGTGGTGAAAGGAATTTACATGATATTGCGTGACGGACTATCCGTCTCCTGTGGCTGGGTCGCGGGACGAACCTCGATAGTGACCCAGCCATGAGAGTGTACAGATGTCGTTCTACGCACTCTCTTTTGATACCCCCCCTGAACGCTCGTAGAGGCGTCTGCCCGCGAGAATTAGTAAACAATCACTCCCAGAGCGTGAAAAGTTGGTGGAGGCCGTCCATCCGTGAGTGCGCCCATGATGGGTCTTGAGCTCCATTTCCAAGGCTATCTCACCGAAACGGCACCAAACTAAATCCTTATTCATTGGTGGCATGACTGAAACGGGCCTGTGGCAGCTGCTTCTCGCTCAAATCATGCTCAGTCCGTCGTGATCGCACAGGACATGAGTGCGTGTTGTCGGCATCCAGTACCGATGTGTGTGTGTGTGTGTGTGTGTGTGTGTGAGAGAGAGAGAGAGAGAGAGAGAGAGAGAGAGATGAGGAGGGAGAGGGAGACACGCGTAATCCTTGAAAGTTGAACGCACAGACCTGGTCGTGTTATATGTTCTTCAGCAGGTCATCCTTGGGCGGGCCTTTCGCCGCTTCTGTGGATTCTAATACGTTCTCCGGTGTATGTCGGCTGCTGCTGCTGCTGCTGCTGCTGCTTTTGAATTGCAGGTTGGATATGTTACCGCATTATGCCCAAGTCCGTTGTAGAGGGAAAGCATGACAGCAGTACGCCATGACGCGGGCTTTTCTGTCTGCCTTTCTGCCTTCCCCTCATCCATCACCACGGGAATAAAAAAAGCAGCAGCAGCAGCAACAGCAGCAGCAGCAGGGGGATGTTAGAGTAATTGTTGATATCACAACGTACGAAAAACACAAGTATATAGTCTAAGCTACTACAATGTGCACGCACATGTAGACTATGCATACATGCATGGGTTTGGTCTCTTTGAGTGGGTTGGAACGTGTGGAACCCACTCCCTCCACGGGAGGGCCTTGTCAGGTATTCCTACGCACGTGTCGATTGGTTGGGATTCGGGCAATCAGGGCAAATCGTGAGGGTGGATCTAGTTTTCCCTCCCCTGGCATCAAGCATTTCCTGCTGTGCCGGCGTGCTACAGTAGAACTCCTGGGTACAGACGACTGTACGGCAGTATACAAAGACCATGTATGTACCCAAGCCCTACATAGACTGTAGTCTATGTACCCAAGCCATTGGCATCGAACCACCACACTACTACTGACTGCTGTAGACTTGCTTTGTGCTCATCTGTAGCCGGATATAAACCTACCTGTAGAGCAGCACCAGCACCAGCACCAGCACCAGCACCATCAGCCAGTCAAACCGCACTCCACCGATGGTCCGTAGTCTACAGATGTCCCGATTACAATCTCATCGGTGAAGGTCCGGTGACTTCCGAAAAAGCCAAGAGGCCCCGCCCAGCTCCGCATCGCTCTCCGGGCCTACAATACACGCTTCTCTGTACCACACGTGAAGGCGGCGGCAAATACCGCCGTCCGTGTTGAGCACTACGCGCGTAGCCCAATACCTACTGTAGCGTTGATGATCGCCCAGGGGCCTGGCTCCGGCGGAACAAACGCAGCCAGCAGTGGTGCGCAAGCCCATGGTAGTGGATCTGGTACATAGAAAGGATCGGTTTCTATTTTTCCGCGTGCGTGGAGAACACAAAGAGCTGGCCACAAAGGGGGAACGACACATGCACAAGAGTCAGTTAAGTGTAAGCCACATGGCCACAGAGCACAGAGCAGCAGGACCCAGGAGCAGGAGAGCAGGAGCCAGCTGGCCTTGGTTCAGAACCAAGCCAGGAACCTACACGCCTCCGTGCAACACCTCCTCTACGATCTACGACGGCAATATTTTTCGAAGATCTCGGATCCTCTCTGCTGATGCCTGCTGCCCAGGACTCCGTCTACCGTTCGCCGTTCGCATCCAAGACAACCAAGTAGCTTGTTCGCTCTTCTGACAAACGTAGCTTTCTCCTTTCGTGCTTCTCTGTTCGGCGTTAGCAGACTCGCGGAGGAAGACCGCGCGAAGAAGAAGGGAGACACGCTGCGACAGAGCATATGCCGACGAAGAAGGTTCGAAGAACACCTAGATTTTTGTTCCGGGTTTTTTAGTGTAGGCTACTTACTCACTGTAGGGCAAAAGATTCACACACGGGCAAGGGCTACGGCGGCACCCCACTCTCGAGTCGGGACTCAAAAGGGGATATGTTGTAGTCCTTGCAGCAGTGAAGGTTTGTTGACAACGTCCGGAAATGATACACAAGTTCGTACAATAGGTGCATGCATAGGCATGAATATGTAGAACCCCCGCATGTGTTTTCCTGGCCATCTCTCACGATCCTGACATCCTGACACCATGACTAATGGTGTAAACATTGCACCCTACCGGAGATACTACGTACCTCCATGTCATGGTTCCATCAGCGGCTTGGTGCTTGGGTTGGCAGATCGGGCATCTCACCGCACCAGTAGTCTACAGTAGGTTGCAAAGATACCAAACCCCCTGGACCGATTTGTAAAGCTCGATTGCTTCAAAAAAGTTGCTCTTCAAAAAAGGAGTGACGATGCCGCAAAATGTGCGTCTCGTCGAGAACTTTCCGAACACGTATCATTTGGGTTTGGCATTTTGATCGTTGTGGAGAAATTGGGCGTAACAACTTGATCCAGGGGGTGCGGTATCTTATGCAACCTACGGTACAGCTGTAGGCCTACAACAGCAGATGGCGAGCTTCTTCCGAGTCGCTCGAAGACTTGAGAATTTCCGAGTGTGTATTTTGGCTGCACGGCTTTAGGGAGCCCAGGGTGACGCTGATTTCTCCGGTTTGCGCCCTGCTCTTTCTTGGGCACATGTACGCTGTACGTATGTTTGTTGATGCAGCGAACCCCGCAACGCGATGCATCCGCCGGGTGTACTTTCCTGCGATGAGGCATCACTGATTCGCCACCCGACCCCCCCTGCTTTGTGTCACTGTGGCCCGATGCGACGACATCACCATCAGCAACAGCACCAGAAGAACACTCGAGACCATGCATACGCGGGCCGGGCAGGCGGAAGCTGGAGCGGCGTTGGCGGAGCGGAGTGCAGCGGACAACAGTCCCCCTCGCCCTCTGCAGACCCCGGACGCCGCCGCCCCGGGGTTGGAGATGGTGGCCGCGTCCCGCCAAGCCCACTTCCTGAGTTGTACCGCAAGCATAGTCGGGGTGATACTAGTAGCGACGGGCCCGCAACGCTCGTAGCGCGAAGGGCAGATGGGCGAGGTGATCTTCCCGTCGCCGTCGATGACCGTCAACGCAATAAACGGCGGTTCAACAGCGGGGGGAGCGCCAAGGTCGGAGGTGGCGGTGGCGTTTCAAGTAAGGACGCCCCTTCCCGGAAGTCGACGGCCCTGGAAAAGGGGTCGGGCAGTTCTGGGGGTGGGCGGGGCAGCCTACCTATAGAAGGCAGGCGTACCCACGACAAGGAGACGGAGATCGCGAATGAGATGGAGAGAGAGCTGAGGGCCGAGAGCACGAGCCGCGGGACCTCCGCTCGCCGAAGCGAGAAGGGTACCGGTGATGGTGGTGACAGTGGACATAGAAGAGGCGTGCGGAATCCTTCTTCTTTTTCTCCGGCGGCGGCGGCCGCTGCGACCTCCGTTGTGTCGGTCGTAAGTGCGGCTGGGCAGCAGCAGTCCCCTCCGCAAGACGGGCGGCCGGCTGCGTACCACACCGGATCTCATGGCGCTGGCGGGAGCAGTAGGGCAGACGAGAGTGACGCCGATGGTGGTGGTGGGAGGGTGGTAGGGGTGCTCTCTGGGCGGGGGGCAGGGGAGGCGGTACGAGACGGCTCTGCTGTGGCGTCGTATCCCGTGCACCGGAGAGAGGGCTGCGACAGGACCGCGTCTGGTGACGCTACTGGTGCGAAAGCATACGCAACGTACAAGAGAGACGGAGAACACACCGGCGTCGAAACCATCAGCAGCAACAACAGTTACCAGGACATCAGTGGTAGCAACAGACACAGCGGTGGCGTCGCCTACAACAAGGGCCCATCTGCGGCTTGTGTCTACACTTCTGGTGCTGTTGGAGGTCCACCCGCTTACCCAATCCACGCAAAGAACGCCAACAGTGATGCTGCCCCCCCTTCATCAGGTACCGTCGGCGCGAACCCGGCGGCAGTACGCAGAGGAGGAGCAACGTCCGCCTACAACCGCGACACTGTCGGGTACCCCCACTTCAAAAGACCCTCAACTTCGACGGCGGTTGCGGCGGCCCCAGCAGCAGCGGCTCGTCCCTCGGAGACGTGTCCCCCGCCCTCGACGGACAAAAGAGGCAGGAAGGGAACAGGGCGGCCCCCAGCGGAAGGCGGGGGTGTTTCTGGGTCTCTTGGGAGTCTTAGGCCTGTTGCGGCCGCCCTACGGAAACCAGGGGACGTTGGAGGAAGGGGGGGTGCGGCGGAGGGAGCCGAAAGGGGTCGATTCGTCGGGAGGGGGGTGACGCGGATGGAGGCGGAGGCGTTCCGCCCCCCCGGAGAATCGGCGTCGCCTCTTGAAATGCTCGGGGAAGGGGCGATGGGGTCCCACCGGATCGTACAGACGGCCGTCCCGCTGGGTACGAGGAAGATTTCGCTGCAGATTCTGGTGAGAGGGTGTCGAAGTTGCTGTCAACCGCATCGCCGTCGTCGTCATCGTCATCGTCGTCGTCGTCGTTGTTGTGTTGTCATTGATGGCGTTGATGTTTGTTGGTGTCGTTGATGTCGGTATGGCTGGGGTTGTCGGTGTTGTCTCACGTTCTGATGACTACGGCATTGGCGCTCTTTCGTCGCTGACAATAAGATTCGCCCCCGTTCTCTGTCGCCTTACATATTCACCACCCGCTCTCTCGTGGATGTCGTTGCATTATTTCCTCCGAGGTAACCACCGCACACCTACATATCCCGTACAGCGTTCCCGGATTTCACCTTTCGCACCGCTTCGATGTGTGCCGCCCCATCACCCGCGGGCCTGGGACCCGCAGGATGACCTCTCCCTCTTTTTCGTCGACATGCGGGCCACGCTCCTCCTGCGGACGGCGACGGCGGGGCCGATCGTGGGTGAGGTGTGCCTCAAGGCGGAGACCTTCGAGGAGGCCGTCGTCTCTGGAGACCCTGGGGAGGTGGTTGTCTGCGTCCCGCAGGTGAGAAAAATCCCTCTGGACAAGCCGTTTCTGGTATTTTCGGGGACGACATGCCAGGGTGTTCTTTTACGGGACAACCCCCCCCGTCGTCGTCGTCGTCAATATTACAATAAATGGTCGTCGGTTTATCGAACGACCCGCGGTAAGAAAAACTGAACGGTCCGTTAGTCCGAAAGCGTTTGTTCGGGGAGGCCACTGCTTGCAGGAAGTTGTCGTTTTTCGTCCCCCGGTCACATGAACTCCACGAAGAAGTGAGGGGATTCATTTCATGATTGTGCCGCTGACTCGAGGGCGCCGTGTGAACCCGTTGGCACGTCATGGAGCAGTCCGTCGGCACGCACACTCGGCTGCCGCATAAGCTCTGTTGCAGACAACTACCATCCATCTCATCCGCATATTTTCACAACAGCAGCAGCGGCAGCAGCAGCAGCAACGCGACAAGAATGCCGAGATTCTAGCTCGTTCTGCGAAGCGAACAGTACCGTAATCGTATAAGATTCCCCACTCCGTCATCGTGGACTGTTCCCCCCTTCCTCAGTTTGTCAAGCCGAGATCTGCGTTGCAGGAGGCGGGAATCCTCGACGGCGACCTCATCACACACATCAACGGGCAGAGGGTCTCCGTAGACAGGCCTGAAGACCTCTTCTGGAGCCTTAAGGTGTGCAGGGGGGTGACTACAATGTTGGGAGAGGGACATGGCGTTGGAGAAACACTATGTTTGTCCGAGGATGCAACCACATTCTCGCCCAACCAATCACCGGCACAAGCGAGGACATGGTTCATCAGGTTCTCCACAAGGAGCCAAGAGCTTTCGCGCAGCGCGGTTCTCGGGGGGTGGAGCGTTGCTTCACGGCTCCAGGATAGCCTGGCGGGATTCTCTGTTGTCCCTTGTGCCCCTACTATGCAGATACGTGACCGGTGTTGTCATGATCTCAGCCCGATCCTTGGACAACGAAATATATATTTAGGGAGGGCAGGTACTTCTACATGGCGTACGATCGGGAAATAGGAGCGAGTATGATAGAACGACACTTCTTCCGAACCCAATCCAAGCTATTCTGTCCGTTGCTGCTGTTTTACCAACTACCGCACGGGGCCAAACCCGCTTGCGTGCTCAATTGCGCTCGCCTGCAGCCCATTAAGGGGGTGCAGCTGCTGGACCTGGCCTTCTTGCGAGCCACTGGAGAGAGCAGCGCGGAGGGTTACCCATGGCACGAGGCCCTTGCCTTTTGGAAGAGCGGGGTCAGGCGTCACATCCTCGACAATGGCGAGGTTGGTGGTTAATAAGCAGAACAGAGTCACCACTCCTGGCACATATACATTTGTTTTCGAGAGAAAGTTAGACGCCGAGCATCGGTCTGCAGTGAGAGAGGGACACACCGAGGCAGGATATCCGCGCTGTACAAATGCTCCTGCAGGGCGCGGCTGGTGAAAATCCTGAGAGTGTCTCCTTGATACGATCACATCGGTCCACGTCGAACACTCAATATCGATCCCAACAACAGCAGCAACAATTAACACTCCAGCAAATCTGCAACCAGGCATTGGGCTGCGAACGGCCGCACCTTAGAGTATGATTGGGTCTCCCGCATGTTACCTTCTGCCTCGGGGCGTCAATCGATCTCAAGACGAAGCACGGTCCCTTCAGCACTAGACTATATCTTTGACCAGTCCCGGCATGCCCACCCACCCCGACCGGCGATTCACTCACTCGACTGCGTGGGTGCTCCCCGTACTTGCTTGTTTCGGATCTCCTCTTCGTGTGTTTGCACCCCCCCCGCGATATCTTCGTGTAACAGCTGGGCCCGAGTCACCAGTGGATGCGACAGGCGAACGACCTTCGAGCCCGCGAGTCCATCCGCAACCACCGCCTCTGCCGGGAGTTCACCACGCAGGTAGGCGAGCTATTGGCACCACTAGTGCATGACAGAGTGGTGCTGACCCCCTTTCTTGATCACGTGCCGCCTTTAGAACACAAACTTTATGTACCGCTTCCATTTCGTTGTGTATTGTGGTATTCTATGTCCATGTTTTTCTTTTCATACTCACGCGGCGCGCGCGAGCAGGAACAGGATGCGATGGGGGAGGCGATCACAAGACCCGCCTATCCTAGGCGTGGCGGGACGGCGGGAGGGACGGCGCCAGTCGCTCACGGCGACACCAACCACTGCAGCAGAAGCGCAGGCAGCACCCACAAACAACACAAGAGCCACAACAACGGCAACGACAACAACAACAACAACGGCAGCAGCCGCAACAACAGCAGTATTAGCAGCAGCAACAAGTACAGTGGCAAAAATCTCGGCAACGCCCCGAACGGGGCGGCGGAAGGCCGAAGAGGTGGCACTTTTGTCATGAGCTCGTCGAACGGCAGCAGCCAAGGTAGGCCTGAGTTTTTCGAAAGAGTAGAAAGCTGTCTGGGGAAAAGGGGGGCGGCGAGTTTAACATCCCCGTGTAACTGACCTGCAATATGGGGATTGGTCTGAGCTTTTTCCCGCGTATATATAGGTCTCGAATCCCCCTCCCCCGCCCGTAGTTTTGGTTGTCCAAACCACGCTGAGGTCGAGAAAAATTCGGAGGTGCTCCGGGCAACCTTCATGGACAAATTCTGCCGACAATTTCACCAATACATAACAAAATATCGACACTAACAATTGCTAGTTCGCTTTTCGGCATCGCTACGCCCAGGAGGACCGCAGCGTTACCCCGCCGCACCACCAACACCGGCTGGCGTACACGGGCCCGGTTTACAGCAGTCGCAACAGCACCACCAACGACAGGGGAGGGCAACATCTGCCGCCGGCCTGGTATCCCGCCCGCAGGCAGCCCCGGCAAACCCGGGCGCGACAACGTCCACGTCGAAGGTGCCCGTGGGTGGCGGCGGCGTTGGTGGTGGCGGTAGGGTTGGCGCAGGAGCAACGGCGGCGGCGGCGGCAATGGCGGCGGGAGGCGGGGGAGACGGAGAGGGAGGGGTTTCCACGACCGAAGGAGGGGGTTCAACGAAGCGGAAGGCGTCTCCTAGCTGGGACGGCGGGCGTGGGCGGGGCGGGAACGATGGAGGAGGAAAGACAGTGGCCACGGCGACGACGGTGACGGAGGCGGCGGCGGCGGCGGTGAAGGTGGTGGCGAGGACGGCAGCGGCGACGCCGCCGACGACGATGGCGCCACCATCGCCGTCCATCGTGGGCGTCACTCGGCGGCAGTCAGGTTCGGGCGGTGCTGCCGGCGGTTCGGCCTCTTTTCCGATGCCAAGCATGACCATTGTTGGCGCTACAGCTCAGCAGAACCAGCACCAGCAACAACAGATGCAGATGCAGATGCAGATGCAGATGCAGCAGAGGCAGCAGCAGCAGCAGCGGCAGCAGATGCAGCAGCAATACCCGATCGGAGCCACCAGAATCATCGGGGTTTGCGGCGGTGGAGGCGACATGACCCCCGGTCATTACGCGAACAACGACTACCCTTGTCAGAACAATTTTCTTGGTGGGGGGAGCGGACAGACGTTCATGTCCCCTTCTTTCTCCCTTGCCAGGATGGGCGGAGGCATAGTCGGTGCCGGACCTATGCCGGTTTGGGGACTAGGGAGAGGTGCTGTCACGGGAGTCGGAAGGCCTGGTGAGAGGAACACTTTTTTCGTTCGGTTTCCACTGTGGAAAATGCTGCAGTGTTTTATAAAATTTCGCCAAGTAGTGATGGTGTTCCTGCCGATGCGGACGGAAAAGTCTGCAGAAGCCCTGTCCTCCGGAGAGATCCGCCACCGTGATTAGTAGATTGATTGCCAGGACTCCAACGGTCACCCACGACTCTCTTTGATGTCTCTGCGTTGAGAAGGAAAGTTAGCCTGGAGAAAACGAAAGCAAGAAACGCGGGAGAGACGTTCTTTGACCCCGGTTCGGCGTGTTCGAAGCGGAGACATACAGGAAGTTGGAGAAACTTGCATGACGCTCGAAAAATGTGGACATGCGATTTGTGCAGGCCGACATGCTTGCTTCTGCTGCTGCACAGCCTAAGAGCGTTCGTGCGAGTTGCTGTGTTTTACGGGATTGGTGCGACGAGCTGGATGCGGTCCACGTAGAAAGGCGAAGTATATCATTGAATTGTTCCCTCCCTCGTTGCGCGTGTCGATCTCTCCCGATCCCTCCTCCTCTTTTGTATCCGAATCATCGCCCTCATGGCTACGCCACCGAAAGCAGGCGGCGGCGGCGACGGCGGTGCCGGTGCTAGCCAAACTGGGATGATGATGACGCCTCAGCAACCGCAAAAGCACGTGCAGCCACAAACCGAGTACCATGCCCCGCAGCCAGGCCTAGTGCCCGCACGCGGCGACCGCGGCGTCGTTGCTGGCGGCGCACCCGGCATGTGGGTCCGGCAACCTGTTACAGGGGGGACAATGAACGGGGGCCCTTGGCGCCCCATTATGACAATCAGCGGGGCAGCGACACAGGGTCCGGGTTTGACCTCTCCCTGTGAGCTGAAGCCGCCGGGCATGGCTCATCACAGTCAGCAACAGCAGCGGGGAATTGTTAATTGCGGCGGAAATGGCGGCGGGGGCACGCAATTTACCCGCGGCAGTAGAAGCAGCAACAGTTGCAGCAACAGCATTCCCATCGTCAACAATCTCAACACCAGCAGCGGCTACGGTGGATGCCCAGCTCCTACCGCCTTCATCGGAGCCCCCCCGGGGAAAATGACGGCACGCCCCCTACCTTCTCCCGCCGCAAACTCACCGACCGGTGGTGTTCTTTCCAGGCCAATCCACACCCGTCAAGTCTCCAGCGGCGGTGGCGACGCCAGCCGGGGAGGAAATACGGACGACCGCAGCATTGACCGAGACTCTGGGTTGGACAAGGCCGCTGCCGCCGGCGGCGCCACAGGTCGAGGCGGTGGGCTGGGAATTACCCACGGGGACGGCGATAGGGGACCGTGGAACGTAGAACAGCGGCGACTGTCGTGTGACTACTGCGCCAAGAAGAAGACCAAGTGCTCCGGCGGCGTCGGGAGGTGCCTCAGGTGAGATGGTCGGTGGCCCGTGCATGCTTGGCACCTGTCAGCGCGTAGCCCAGGCTACGATAAACCTCGCAGCGGCTGCAGCACCCCCGGTGTACAACCAGACCGCCACCGGTACTCAAATTCCACCGGTTTCAACCACCCCAACAGATTGGGCCCAGCCTTTGCGTCTCATTGTTTGTGGGTGGTTCTCTATGTTTTTCGTTCTCGCCACACACAGACAGAAAACTCCCCCCCTCTATCCACGGATCGATCACGCCCGGGAACCGTGTCCACGGTGGTGTAAACTTGAAGCTCGGGTCGATTGAGATTGAGGTTGAGACCATTGGAGAGGGGGTTAGCGCGAGGGATTCGTTGACGGTGGTGCGCGTGGGAGGCACTGTATCACCTTACGGAAGATGAGACAATCCCATAGTACTCAAGACATGGAAACGAGAAAAGCGAATAAACAGACCAACGAGGCAAATCCCGCTGACGGCGGTGGGATGTTTTGATAACGACGCGAAGGTTTTCGTACGAAACAAAATGTCTTCGAGAGTGCAAACATGGTCGCGTACACCTCGGGACAGAAACCGGCGCACAAAAACCACGTACGCAACTCCCTCAGGCACAACCAACTGCTATGCCTTCCAGGTGCCGCAGGGACGACCAGGAGTGCGTGTACAGCCCGAAGAAGAGAACGGGCCCGCCAAAGAGGCGCCATGTCGCCGCGGTTGCTGCCGGCAAGGCAAACGCCTCCACCGCCGAAAACGGCCCCGTCAACAACAACAACAACGGCGGTGCTGGCAGGGGTGGCGGCAGTGGCGGCTTTGGCAGCGGCAGCGGAGGTGTTTCGGGAATGACACCCGTCTCTCACGCGGTCTTGCCCGGCACGGCCAGACACCCCGCCGCGCCTCCGGTTTGTGGAAACGGCGGTGGTGGTATCGTCGACATTGTTGGATCTTCCGCACTGCGGTCCGTTGTCGGCGGCATCGGAAACGGCTTCTTCGGCGGCGTCGGCGGCGGGGGCGGTAGTGATGGGACAGGAGGAGCGGTGCCTGGCGATCACCCGGCGGGGGTTGAGAGGGACGAGGAAATCTGGGACCCCCGGGGATTTGGACACTCCGGGAGTGGCGGTGGGGGCCTGATGATGATGGCGGACCCAGGGTCTGCCTTGCAGAGGGGAGTCGCCGCGGCGTTTCGAGAGGCGAGCGCAACTAGTGGTAGATAATGGGTTCTTCTACTGACGCAATGCTTTCTTGGAGGTCGCTTTCCACACCAACCCGCGTCTAAGAATGAGAAGGGTTCACCTTTTGCTTGCTGGCCGCAGATAGCGCACCGGCGTTGAAAAAGGCCCTGCTTCCCCTAGAATGTAGTGCACGAGCATTCCGTACGGACCCGTGTGTCCTGCTTGTTCTGGTTCGTCCATCTTTGCATGACCGACCTTGTTCATGCGGCGGAGACATGCGGAGGCTCCATGGATCACTCTGGAGAACCCTCACCCCACATCCCTCCCCCTTCTCTGCCCCCCCCCAGGCCCAGCAGAAGAGCGACAACCGTAGGGTCGCGACTAAGCCGTTCCGCTTCACGGAGGCCTCGCTCAACCTGCCCAGAAGCGGCGCTTCCGTCGTCGGCAGTGGCCCACGAAACGGCAGCGGCGGCGGCGCCGGGATTGGTGACGGCGGTGGCGTCGCCCCCGAAAAAGACGGCGGCGGCAAGGAATCGAACAGCTCCGCTGGCGAGCAGTGTGGACCTTTCCCTGGTGACGTTGGCGGCGATTCAAGCAAATCGGGGGTTGAGAGCGACGGCGGAGACGGAGAAGAAAGGGAAAGCCCGCGCGAGGAAAGGGGTGCAAGCGACCAATCGGCGATGGGGTCGTTAGAAGGAGCAGGAAAGGGGGGGGGTGGAGAAGGAGAAGCAGCGGCATCGGCGGCGGCGGCAAGTCAGGGAGGAGAAGATTCTGACACGATGCCGCTCAAGCCGTCACACGACAGCCGTAGTAGTTCCGGCGGTAGCGGCTACAACAGCAACAGCAGCGACGGCGGCGGGGCCGACGGGCTCGCAAAGATCTCCACAAGGACGAGAAACAAGACGGCGGCGAAGGCGGCGGCGGTGGCTGCGGCGGCGAGGGCGGCCGAAGAGGCAACGGCTGCCACGCCCAAGAACGACGTTCCGCCGACGCTGTCTCCGCTCCCCCCTTCCGCTGATCTACCGCTCCCTGCCGGCAAGGGTGCTGACGACGGCGACAGCGGAACCGGTACCAACCGGATGACCGCGGCATCGGGGGCGGCGGGAGAAGCAAGGCCCGGCCAAGTTTCGAGTCTGGATGACGCGCCGATTGCATCCACCCCCGCTGCTGGCAAAATTTCTAAGAAGATGTCGGCCGGGTCCTGCGTGGTGAAATCAGAGCCAGGGGAAAATATTGCCTCCCGTTCCGAAGGTTCTTCCAGCCGGGGGGATGCGACTTTCGAGATCAGGGGTTGGGAGCAGCAGCGTCACCGCCTGGGAGCTGAGCGGCACCGCCTGGGAGCTACTCCTGTTCATGGCGGGGGAATCAGCGGGGGTGGTGGCGATGGCGGCACCACTTCTATTGCTGGTGCTGCCGCCGATGCTTCCTGATCCCTCGCCCCAGTTGTTGAGGAGACCAAGATGTCCCCGCTTGTCGCACCGTGTTGGAGGTCCGCAACCTCTGACGGGGGCACCCGCGCATGCAAGCACCGGGCGGTTGAGGTGGGGTTGCCCTCTAAGGTGTTGGTGATCTTGGACGAGGAGAAGGCGCTTGCGTTGCTGCTGCTGCTGCTGCTGCTGCCACCTCGACGCATGGCTGGTAGAAGTGGGCTACGGCGGGGAAGTTATCATACGAAGTAGTACTTTTTGATCATATATTTATTTTAGGTTGGGCAGAATAGTCGAGCGGGGACGTTTTGTGAGGGGTGCACCAATCTCCCTTGTTACCACCCGATTGCTGTTGCCCGCTGGGAAGCAACTCCCAGATCCAGACTCGCTGTCGGGGAGGGGGATGTCGGCAAAGAGGGACAAAACCACGGATGCGCAGCCGCCGCCGCCGCAGCAGCAGCAGCAGCGGCGGCAGCGGCGGCAGCACCACTAGCTGTCAGCGTTCACATAACCGGAAGGGAAGGACCTTGGAAGTCAGCTTAGAGCCGAGTCGTTGTCGCCGTCACCTCGTGGAGGACGGAGGGAGGTACCTCCGGCGACAGTAATATTTTTTCAAGAGATCAAATGAATTATTAGGCAGTGAGAGAGAGACAAAAGAGTTTGTGTCTGTTTGACTGAAGCAACAAGAGCTACTTTAGCGAGTGATGTGTGCAGCTTTAACAATTTTTCTCTCCCGGGGGCGGGAGCGGGTGTAAAAGGTTACCTCTCGCGAGAGGAATCACGCGGGTTCCCTGGCGTGTGTACCGTAAACACATGGTCACAAGATTTTGTGCGCTTGTAGACAAGGACATCGTTCCGTAACAACGGTAAAAAACGTGCAGGGTCAGACAACAGACAAGGACATGAGAACGGGGTTGAGTCGGGAGGTTGCTCGCACCCAGGGCGGCTATCCACGTGTGCAAAGCCTAGCCCTACCGGCATTCGCTGGGGTGACGCGGAATCTTGCCGCTGTTCCGAGTAGGGTCTATGTCGGTGGTCCCGCCTCAGGCAAGGCCTTCTTTGAGGCGGGAGTTTGCCAGTCTTGGCAGCGGCGCCGCGCCTGCCGTATCTGATGCTACCGCTGGAGGGCTGTTGAGCAGGAAGTCGCAGCAAAACGTTTGGGGGGGGGGGGCCCAAGTGCGGGAGCAGCGAGGCGTCAACAACGATAACTCGTTTGAGACAAGCAAGGGGCACGTTTTTGGAGGGTGTTAGAGAACGTTGCTCCGTCCGAAAATACGTGTCTCCGTTCGTGCCGCCACGCACACGCTCCGTAGATATTCCGCGTGCTTGTGGTTTGGTAACACAATCGACTTGGTGCACTCGTTTTGAGGCAGATAATGCCGGGTTCGTTGGCCTGTGCCTAGGTGTAAATCGCTGACTACATTTGGTGAGAATTGTCAGCGTGGAGTAACATATGAATCCATATAATCATATTAGTGCGCGGGGGGGGAGGGGGGGGGGGGGGAGTCGGGTTGGCATGAGCAGGCAATGGAGCGCCCAGGCAGGCACTTGCCCTGTATTGCAAGCTGCGGCTTTGTGTGGGGGCGGCTTTGCGTGGGGGTGGTTGTGGCCATGAGAAAGGAGGGAGGGTAGCGGAGCGCACCCCTAGGCGCTTCCTCTGTTTTTGCGAGTCGAGGCAATGTTGTCTTCGGGCTTGATTCGGTCCTCCTGTAGAAAGGGATGGAGACACTGGGACATTGCGTTCAGCGGTCGGCATGTTGATCTCGGAGCGAGTTTGTGTCACGGCACAACAAGTTTTTTCCTCCACGATGAAGTTACCAACAATACTCCGCATCTCACAATCAAGGTTTTGTCGTCGTTTTGAAAACATAAGGGTTGAACGATGGAGGCTGGTGGAGGGGATCGCTGTGGGAAACGTTGGTAACAGTCGATGGGGGTGGGCTTTCGTTTTGCAAGGAAATACAGAAATGTGTAGATAGAGCCGTAAGGCTCTCTTGCCTGGGTAGGGTTGGCAGGGGTCGATTCCGTCAAGGCAGTGTATGAAGAGATTGTGTTCTATCCGCGGCCAATGCTCTTTTGTGTCTGAATCGACTTGCTTTGCTTGCTTAGAACTCGTTGCGACGACCAATGACAAGGGATGGAGGCTGTTTTACGATGGTTGTCGTGGTGGTGGTGGTGGTGGTAGCGGTTCTTGTGCACCAAAGAGTTTAAGTTTACACGCTGGAGAGGGTCGAGAGAGGGTCGATCGACCCTGCGGTGCGGTCTCTCTCTAGACGTGTGAGTGCCCGCCCTCAAACAGCAGTCAAATCTATTTTTTCTGATGCTATCGTGAACGTTTTTGATGTTGAGGGGTTTTTGTCGAAAGCGTGCTTTTCTTCCTCGTCCCTTGCAGTCATTCTCTCGGTGCATTCACACGTTGATGATAGTGGTGGCGGTGCTGTGATGATGGCGCCGGGTGTTTCTCGCGGCATCCGAAACGACCTGGTTCAGTTTGTATGTGGAGGCTGTAAGAAAGGGATATATGTTTTTGTCTCGCCTTGCAATTAGGCCGTCTTGCCCCCCGTCGGCAACAATTGCTACCGGGGGGAGTGGAGAAGAGGGTAGGGTGATGAAGAGACGACCAGAGAAAAGAGCGATGATGACGTGTCGTGGTATTGTGTACCAATGAACAGTGTAGATGGCTGAACAACGTCTCCCGCCTTTCGACCGTAAGCTGTTGTCCTCGTTTATGTGATGTTGGCGCTTTGATATAATAGTCTCAGCTGGACCGCTCACTGTCGCTGTCGAGATGGAATACATTATAATATTGGTTGTTGTGGGGGGTGAGGCCTCGTGTTCTGCACCATGCTCTAGTTGAGGTAAATGCGAACGGTTGTTGAATCGTCCCGGTGGTAATTGCCGAAGACAAGGAAATCGGATAAGGGGTTCCGGTCTAGGGTGTTTCTCTCTTCTGTGTGATTCGCTCGATCTTGCCAGAGAGCAGATGAAGCAGAGTTACCGGATCGGTGTGAAAGATGGAAGAGGTGGGCATAAAAACGTTGTTTTCGGCCCCACCACAACCGGTGACCACCCCTTTCCGGCGCTCACTCTCGTTTCGCTCGACTCAAGTGCTCTGCCTCTCCTCGCAGCTACGAGAATCGAGGGAAAGGTCCAAGAACGTTCCCCGGAGATCGCCCTCCCAAAGAACTTTAGGAACAAAGAAAGGTTGTTGACTATCTTCAAGAACTCAGAGCATTTTGTTGCTCCAGCTCAGCGGTTGGCCGACAAGTGCGCTAGCTTCGAAATCCACCAGAGTCTTAAGCATGGCCGAAACCTCGGCAACGGTCTAATTTGGTGTCCTTCTACACGTCTCCTCCCCTCTCCCTCCCTCTTTCCTGCCAACCCCCGGCATGTTCTACCCCTCCCATTCTCGAGAACGATGGCCGACAGGGAATCCCGAAAAGAATACCCGAGCCGAAAATCCATTGAACGTGAAAACGACTCGTTGGTCATTATGTTCGAACAACGACAACTACCACCACCACCACCACCACCACAAGGACTGTGTTTACCGATACGGCAAGCAGGCCAGCGCACATCGATTGGTTTTCCTCATCTACAACGTCACACCGGCAACAACAACAAAAGACGATCAAATCACGGTCTTGCGCTCCCTTCGGTGACGAACGTTCCGGAGGGCCGGCGACCGCGGCCTTGCCCCTCCTCCTCCGCGGCCGCCGCATACCCCCGAGGGAGAACGCCTCCTTCTTGTCCTTGCCCTTGTTCTTGGCCTCGTTCCGGGAAGGTTCCACGCGCCGTTCCCGCCGCCGCGGAGCCGTCCTGCTTGTGAGTCGGCGGGGTAGTATCGAGGCAGTGGACGCAAAAACAAGAGGATATGTGAATACATGTATACAATAGACAAAAAGTCTTGGCTGGCTTTCAAGCAGCAACGCGCGTAGGCTCCACAAGAACACGTCCCAGGTGTCCGTTTTATCACCCCCTTTGCGATAAGTTTTGCGACGACGCAAGTTGCCTCTGTAAATCATACAGTCAGTGCCACCTGTGTCGAGGTCATCGGTAAGCCGTCATTCCCTTGAGGAGAAATATACTGAGATGTCAAGCTACTGTGGAGGAGGGGCGGGCGTATTCAAGATTCTCACTACCGTGGTTTGTTAGACGATTGACCACGCGTCCTCGAGAGGACGGAGCATTGTAGGAGAAATACACCGAGATGTCAACCTACTGCATCGGGGGGGGGGGGGGGGGGTTTGTCTTACATCATCGTA